ATCGTTGCACTGAGAAGGAAAGGGGATGCGTTGATTCCAAATGTTACGCGGGTGAATCGGTAAACAGCAAGGTCTCTTGAGTGAGCGCTTCCTTGACGTTCTTCACCCAAAGGCATCGAGTAAAATCTCTGTCCGACTCTTGCAGGCGTACTTGGAGGAATGACTTATCAACGTCAGATAGTAGGACATATCTCTCTGTTCGAAAGCGCAGCAATATACCATAGAGTTTCGGTAACATTGTTGGTCCTTGATGAATCATGTCGTTGTGAGAAGGGCAGTTTTTGTAATGAGCCGATGCGTCGAATACAACACGGAATTTTGTAGTTGTTTTTTGTGGGGTTATCACTAGTTGGTGAGGGAGATAGTGTTTTCCGGTTGTCGATGAATCTTCAGACTCGTTTACTTCTTCAAGAATGCCTGCTTTGAGTTGTTCTTTGAAAACATTGTCGTACTGCAGTAAAATATCGGGGTGATCGCTGTATTTTCGAAGAGTATTTTTCAGTCGTTTCCATGAGAGCGCTCTATTGTCTGGTAATTCAGAATACTGTTCCTTGAAGGGGAGTTTCACATAGTATCCATCATCACGTTTCTGGATGGTATCATTGAATTCCTTCAGAACTTAGGCATTTGTGTTTGCTTTTTCTTCCTTTTCGGTTCTGGAAAGTTCCTCCTCTCTTTCACAGGATTCAGTGCTCCAGTATTGTTCCCAGAAATCCATTGGATCGCTTGTTTTGGAACTGTGCACAAGAACAGGATTTCCTTTTGTGATTGTGCCGTTCTGCGACAATTTTTGTCCTGAGATCATGTATCCAAATGTTGTTGGAATGAGGCGCAATCCGGAGGGAAGAGTGAAATGTGGCGATCCAAATTTTATGAAGTTCCACAATTGGTCGCACCCAATCAGGATCCGTGCTTGTATGTGGCTCTTTTTCATCGGTGAGCATAGGCGAATGTGTTTTCTTTTGATAAAGTTGATATCTCTTTTGTCTAGAGCCGGGCGGCTAACATTTGGAGTGATCGTGTCGTGTATGTATAATTGGAGTGTGTGCTGTACACCTTCGTTATCCCATATGCTGAGGGATGTGATTGGGCATGTGATGTCTCTTTGTTGAGTCGTTCCGAATGTACTGAGTCTCATTGTTGATGATCCTTGTCTCGGAAGTTGGAGCTCTTGTGCAAGTTCAAAGTCTATGAAGGAACGGTCGGCCCCAGTATCAAGTAGCACCAGCACATCACGTAGTCTCTCTGTTACTGGATTCATTACTTTGATCGATCCTGTGAGAAGACATATGTCTCCTTTCACCATCGCTTTCGGGTTTTCCGCGACAGCTGAAATGTCAGGATCATTTGCGCCTGCTTCGATTTGTGGTTCATTTGATGTAAAATTCTGCAACGAGTGTCTAGGTTTCCCATTGTTCTTCTGTTCGGCTTGTGTTGTGGGAAAGTTTGGTTCCGTATTTTTCAAACATATTGAAGTATGGTGTCGTTTTCCGCAATGGGTGCATCCTACTCCCTTGCACTCAGAGAATGCGTGGTTTCTTGATCCGCATCCGAGGCATCTCTTCGTTTGTTTGAGATATTCAATTCTTTCTTTTGGATGCTTGAGTTTTGTGCATGAGATCGACCAATGATCTTGCGAATTACAATAGAAGCAATATGGCGATCGTGTCTTTGCGTAGGTAGGAGCAGGTGAACCTCGACTCGTGTATTTTCTCTCTTGTGCATTCTGCGGTTTGAATGTTTTTGACATGTGACGTTCGATTTCTTCTTCCTGTTTCAGGACTGCGTCTAGAATATCCATTTGTTTCGCCATGGTCCATGTCTCATTGTACGAGAGTGTTACTTTTTTCTCGAGAACTTTCCTTTTTATGTCATCCCTGAACTTAGCCAAAGTTTTCGACATTAGCCATGGACTGTTGAGGTTCTCTCCTTTGCTTTCTAACTGTCGCGTTATCGAGGAGAGTCGGTCGAAGAGTTTGCATTGATCTTTCAACTCTGTGCTTTGAGCTGTGCAAACTTCCATTTGTTCGTGCAGGTTGGTAATGATGACAGATGTATTTCCATATTTCTCTTGCAAATGCTTCACCACCATAGGATAATTTTTTGAAGTTATTTGGTATCTTTCGGCAGATTGCCGTGCTTCTCCTTTTAGGGCTTGGAGAAGGTAGTTGAACTTTTGGAGATCCGACAAAGGAGTCGAATGTATTGTAGCATTGAATAACTTCCAGAAGTTGTATCACTCCCAGCACCATACTTTTCCGGAATCTAGTGCTTGCTTTTCTACCTCAAGACGGGCTTGCAAGTCTTCCGATTCCGATAGTAAGACCTGGCCTTTCTCCAACTGCTCCGAAATTCGCTCTTCTTCTTCGTTCTCCAGTGAGTGTTGAAGTTTATCAACTGCTTCTGCGAATGCGAAGAAGGTTTTTTCGAAAGATGTTTGTGTTGCACGTATATGAACTAGTGCATTGTTGATTTGGCTTA